GAAAAGGGATAGTAGAGAAAAACAAAGGAGGGAGTAACAATTTTCAACAAGAAATGTATTCACTACCTTACTCATGTAACTGCAACCCCTCTGTACAGCATCTTTACAATAAAATAAAAATTTAAAAAACCCACCAGAGCAAGAAGCCCTAGAGACACAGCTTAAGTGATATAGTGCCTGCTTAAAGTACAAAGTTTGAGTTCCACAAAAAAACAAATAAAAACTAACCAGTAAACAAAATAAATGTGTGTCATTCAATGATGATAGTATATTGTGAGTCATGAGGGTCAACACAAGGCTGGCAAAAGGGTGAGGAGATGATAAAGAAATAACAACTAACTTTAATAGTAAGAACCCTTACAATTAATCAGAGATTCTGGGATGGCACATTCATTTTTGTTATTGTAATAAGGTGGTAATTTTGCTACAAAAGTACTTTTTTAGTTAATACATTTTCATTAAATAAAATACTCATACTACAAATGACAATTTTTTTTCCTTTTTGAGGGTGGAGGGGATCCCTGAGGATCCCTTGGAATCCTTGGGAGACGAAAAAATATACTGAGCAGGCTATGGATTTTCAGCTATAATACTCTAGATTTCAAATACTCTGCTGGGTTAATAGAAATTTAGTAAAGAGTACTTCGGATATTTCTATAATACATTTTGACTTTAACCATGCTAAGATTAATGTCAGTAAAGAATCTAAAAAAACAAGTCATTGATGTAATTCTGTTACAGTCTTCCCTTGACCCCCAAACAGTATCTTCCAACTTTCTTAGAGCAACCCATGTAACAGTGACTGAATTTTTTACATGCATTTTTAGTGAGTAACAATAAAGACTAAACAGATATTTCAGCTCTAGGCAATTTCAGAAAATGTTTTGGGTTTTGAATTTTAACCTCAATTGCAACATACTCTGCTGAAAAACATCATGCCATTTCACTAATTTGGAGAAGAAAATTCTATAAATTCTATTAAAGTAACAAAAATGAAGAAAATGTTAAGCTTTAAGATAGTCCATTATCTAGTATCCAATCCAAGTCACAAACAGTTCACAAGTATACTGCATGATATAATTGTTATATATATTAATCTATCTTTATATTAAGTGAAATACAACCAAAGATTTTTTTAATCTATCTGTATACTAACTGAAATACAACCAAAGAAGTTACATAAATATCTACTAGTGTTGTATTTTACTATTAAACAATGATTTTGTACCTTTGGAGCATGTCTACAATCGAATGAATCCATTTTTTCTGAGAGTCAGGAATTAAGATCTGTGTATTTGTTACTCCAGTATCAACAACACAGGTTCCTGGAGCTGAAAAAAAACTATCTTCTTCTTCATTTTCTTCCATGATCAATCTTGCTTCTCCGCCGCCAAAAACAACTGCTGAACTTAACTTCTTATGCTAAAGATAAAAGAAATATTTAGAAAACTAATGTAAAAGTCACAATGAGTTTTCTGCACAAATACTTGCTATGTGAAAATTCAATGCAGGAATTACAATAGACACAGATTTTACATTCGAGTGAACAATTTGAACTTTCACTCTGATAAAAGTTTCTATTTTCTCATCCCCCTTCACCTTCTGGTCCTCTAATGGGCTAACCCACAGGATTTCTCCACTGTAACATAAGCTCTTAGAATCCTCACCACCTACACACACAGATAGCATTTTACAAAGGTTTACATACTGAACAAGTTCAGACTTAAAGGTTTTTTTAGCCTGCCAATTATGTACTGATAGAAATTTAATTATCAGACTAAGTAACCCATATTAGGAAAGACTACAATCATATACATAACATTAGGCAAGTTCTGGTACAGAGAGACATTTTTCTTCTTCTGGATTTAGCTACACAAAGGAAATGCAGAAAGTATTGGTAAGACTAATAATGTATATAAGTTTATTATGTTTTTCACCAGAAAATTAAGCTTATATCTTTACCTGTTTGGCATTTAAAAATACAAATGTTTTTCCCTGGAAGATATGCTTTCTTTCCTGTCGTCTTGATAGATCAATATTCTTATTTCCAATAGATGGTTCATCAATAGGTGGATAAAAACTGAAAAAATAAGATGTACTCAAATTACATACTATTCTGTATGTTTACTGTTAAAGTTTTAAATGGAATGAAGATTTAGTTTTCATAATACCATTTAAGAGTTTTATCTGGGTCAAAAATGACACAAAAAATATAAATGCCTTTCCTAGAAATATGGTAATGGGTAACACATCTTGTGGCACAGCAAAAGAATACACAAATCAAATCTAAGATTGGAAAGCTGTTTATGGCTGGTTGGCTATCAACCAAGTTCCACGAGGACAATATAGTATGCGATGGTCTGTATAACACGAGTAAGGAGTGCTGATCTTGTGAATCTATCAGATTTTATGTGTTATAAGACTCTACTTCACTTCTCAAGACTTCTCCCAGCAAATATAGCTCAGACAAATGGCCTGTTTTGAGAGCCCTGTATTCTTCATTGTGTACAAATCCAAGAGATCTATGGAGAACTAACTCTCCCAGCAGAATCTTCCTAAAATAATAGTTGTTGGAAATAATCAAGGTGGTAAACCTGAAAGTTTACTGTGTGCATATATGGAACTATCATGATGGAACCCCCCATATTAAAAATGTATGCTAAAACTAAATTAGAAAGTTAGAAAAAGAACACCCTGGAGTACACAAACTTTGTAAACACTAAAAAACAACTTCCTCTCTTTTTGAAGGGAACATTTCCTTATATTTTATACAATAAACTTCCCTTATTAAGAATACAGAAGACCAACTGTGGGGCTGGGAAGGTGGCTCAGTGGTAGAGCGCTTGCCTTGCA